GAGCTGGTTTTTGTGGCTGGAAAGCCTTAGTGCCTAGTTCAGAGGTCATGTTAACACGTGGACAGGAGGAGCGAGCAGGAATGGGGACCTAGAAGGAGGAACAACCAGACTTACCAGATTCCTGGGGAAAAAACTATCACTTAATAGATCTAATCAAATGGCCTTAGTATCGTCTGGCCACCAGTCCCTCCAGAAGCTGCTTAGGAAGGTGTCAGGAATAGTCTATGTGGACACCACCTAAAATGCCTAACTGCAAAGAGAACACATGATGGCAATGGCACCAGTGAACTTCTGAGACCGGGGGCAAAATAATACAGAAATGCAAGGTTTTTCAACTTGTAGAAACCCCACCAACTTAGGAAATGAGTTAGAGGAGAAACAGAAGGAATCTTAAAGTGAGACGTATACCATGAATATTTAAGAACGCAAACACATTCCGGTCCAGCGTATTTCGTTTCACTGCTCCTCAAGATACATCCCAATGGTGTATTTTTCTTTATCTTCCCACCAAGTTCTTTTGGACTGGCCTTCCCCACGCTCTCTGTCTGCACATAAACCACAACACTGCTATGTCTTATGATAAGGCAGCTAGTCCTGAAAACTTGATTCCTCAAGTATAGCACTCTATTTCCACAGTCTCGGAACTTTTCATTGAGCATTCCATCAGTAGAACACAATCTAAGCACATAGGATTCTGAGTACATCCTCAGTATATGTGCATATTTATACAGAAATTAGATAATGATTACTATCCAGCTCATATATTAAGCACTAGTAAATTTGTTTCACTTTTGAAAAATTAACAATAAATAAATATAACTTTTGATATTCAAAGGAATGCTATTTCTCTTCAGACTACTGCAGTAGCCACATTGACCCAAAAGGTAAAGGAATGGAGGGCTCTATGGGAAGGACCTAGTAGACTGGACCCCAGGCCTTTGTCACATGGGAAGAAAGGGACCCTCTTCCAAGCATGCATCCAAGTTCACTGTGGGCGGGCGCTGGAAAACAGAGTGCAGGAGCTTTTTGTTGTTGCTGCAAATTTTCCAGCTCAGACACATCTGAATAGGATAAAGGTCTCAAACTGCTTTATTTCTCTATTCATTTCCATATTTCCTCCATTCAAGTCAGCCTCATCCATGAGAAAGTTTTCCATCAACCTGTTACTTGATGGATTTAGCGATCACTGATGATGACTGTTTTGCACTACTGTCTCATCAGGACTTTTATAATGCTCATTTTCTAACTCATTCCTTTTGCATTTATTAGTTGTGATTTCTCCATGATTAATGACTTTCTCTCATCAACTGTTTGATTATTTTCAAATACAATTTGTGCTAGAAAGGCATGATCAAAGCTGAATTCTTTCACTTTATTTTTTACAGTAATGAGGTAGTATCCTAGCAATTTGCAAAGGTGACCCACTACACTTTGTGGAGTTTTCTTGGTTGGTGTATCATTCCGGAATCTAGAATCTTTAGGTACTCCCCTCTTTTTGTATACTAAAGATCTTGGTTCCTATAACATACCTAAAACAGTTTCAAGTAACAATATAAATATTTCCCACTACAACTGTATAGTCAAAGGATGGTCTTTTAAAGCCACTTAAGTAATAATCTTCTCTATATGAGAGGTTAACATCAACCTCATGTGTATAGCTAGGTTTGTCTCTATCTGTTTTCAATTCTTAGTGAATGCTTTTCTTTTTTATTTGAATTTTTATTGTGGTAAAAAACAAGTAACACTAAATTTACCATCTTAACCTTTTTTAAGTGTTCAGTAGTGTTAAGTATATTCACACTGGTATGCAAGAGATCTTCAGAACTTTTTCATCTTGTAATACTGAAACCCCATAGCCATTAAACACTAATTCCTCCTCCCAACTTGGTAACCACCTTTCCGTTTTCTGTTTCTATGATTTTGACTACCTTAGATATTTATGAGTGGAATCATATGGTATTCACCTTTTTGTGACTAGCTTATTTCCCCTAGCATAATATCCTTGAGGTTCATCCATGTTGTAGCATATGAAGGATTTCCTTCCTTTTTAAGGCTAAATAATATTGCATATATATGTACACTACGTTTTTCTTTATCCACTTGTGTGAATGGACATTTGGGTTGCTTCTACCTCATGGCTATTAGGAATACTACTGCAGTGAACATGAATGTGCAAATACTTCTTCGAGATCCTACTTTGAATTCTTCGGAATATTTCTATTTTTAAATTAGGTAAAACATTTACATGGTCTTAAAGTCAAAATAAGGAACATTAAGAGACATCACCCTTCTAGCCCCATCCCTGGATACCTTTTTATCCAGTGGGAATCACTTTATCCAATGGCAATCACTTTTATTAGTTTATTTATCCTTTCATTGTTTCTTTTGGAAATATAAGTTCATTCATATATACTAACACGACCACACACACTCTTCCTCTATATCTGACGTATATAAAAGGGAGTAGCTCTACATTGTCCTGCACGTTGACTCTTATCACTTAAAAATATCCTAGACATGCCCCTCCTGGAATGAAAGCCTTCCTCATTTCTTTTTATAGCTACGTAGTACTTCATTCTATTAATGGATCATATTATTCACTCAGTCCTCTATGATGATGACTTGGGTTGTTTCTTGTTGCTTCCTATCACAAATAGTGCTGCACTAAATGCCCTTGAGCACATGCCACATCTTGATTTTGCTCATTATCTTTGGAATAGATTCCTATATACGAGGTGCTTAGTTGAAGAAAGAAAATGCAGAGGCAGTTTTACTAGATCCTGACAAACACATCCCCACTGGGGTAGTACCATGCTGCATTCTAACCACTAGGGTTGAAGAGGGCTGGTTTTGCTCACGGCATCATCAGACTAGCTATGCTGTTCAACTTTTGCATTTCTGCCAATCTGTACATGGGACATGGTATCTTGGTGCAGTTTAAAAATGCATTTCTCTTACTGTGAGTGAAGTTAACATCTTTCCATATGTTCAGAGCAGTAAATTTCTCTTTCCTCTAAACTTAATAGCCTTTTCCCATTTTTCTGTTGGAACATGGAACTTCATGTTGGAACATGTATTTCATATATATATATGTGTGTGTATATATAAGGGTCTATATTAGTAATTTAGCCCTCTGTGATATCATTTACTTACGATGTTATTGGTGGTTGTTTTGCCATACAGGTTCTTCTTTTTTAAAAATATAGTCAAGCATATCAATTTTCCCTCATTTCTGCTGAATTCTGAGTCATGGTTAGGGAACTTACTCCCTTCCCAGGTTAACAGAAATTAATCCATGTTTTTATCTTCAGTTACATTTTAAGCAGTGAATTTCCTTCAATTTAATCAACCAATACTGCTGAAATTCTCCATCCATGGAGAACAAAATAGGTTTGCAGGACTGTGAATTCTAACGTTCTAAAATAGAACTTTGTTTTCTAGGGGAAAAATAACCTCTCTTCTCTACTCCCTGGAAACTCCATCTCTTGTGGGACACACACCTGCCATATCACCCAGGGGTTTTAGTCACTTTGAACACAGTTAATGTTTTATTTCACTTGATTTAACACACAGGTCACTTCTTAGGCTATTCTGTGCCACCTTATCCCATCCCTCAAAGTTACACAGCAAAGTCAAATCACAGGCAAACTCTGAGCATCCTCACCACACTAAAAGCCATCTGTTACCTAATGTGCCAAAAATCAATTTGCCCCATGAACTGTGCCCCAGGGACGGTGTGTAATAGTAGGATGATACAGCTCCATGAACAATGATGTTTATGAAGCATACAACACACTCTCACAAATCTGAGCTTAATAGAACACTTAAGGATGAGTTGACTTTTAAAATTACTCTCCATTCTTAATTCTCCCTTCTCATGCCTAACACCCAAAGATTAGTCCAATGCATGTGCTGTTACATTTAGTGAGTGTGAGACAGGGGTTACCTTCAGGTAGCTGTATACAATGGGAAGGGACAACCACATGGGAAGAAGATTAGGAAGGAGTCTTTTGGGTCTTGGTTCTACAAAGCAAACAGATTCATCTCAGAAGTTACAAAGTGGAAACCTCTGGATCAAGCTTATCCTGATAATTTTAGAAAACAGGAATTCTCTCATCATCCAAATTATCTCACGTGGCCTTTCACTTCTGGAATAGGGCTTCATCTCATTACTCAAGACTATTGACTTACAAAATAAATTCATTGTTGGCATAAACACTACCAAATGTGGTTTTTGAGTTCACAGTCCTCAGCTAATTAGAAATGAGGCTAGTGCCAGGTAAACAGAAAGCAGCAGGAAGAAATGGTAAAAGTGGGAAAATAACCCTATAGAAACAGAAAATGTCTAAGAGCCTAGCATCTGTGGCCAGTTAATTCATCATCATTTGGTGTGCTGTTCTTACTATATTGGCTCATGAAATAAGCACTGCTGCTGAAAACAATGACACCAAGTCAGCAAGAGAAGGTAAAATTTCATTCTGGGCCTAGGATTGAAGAAGTCAGTAAAATACAAAACTGAGTTTAAAACAGTTCCATTTTTTAAAAGCTTTTTTTTTCTTTAAAAAGTTTGATGCTTAAATAATTAAGGTTTAGTTTTGTGGAAAATAGATCTGCATGAAAGATTTCACCCCTCATTAGTGACAAAGTGTACCCTAAATAGCATCTATGTGGCATAAAATGTGTTTAGTGCCTGCCAATCTAAAGTCACTGCAAAGTCCTTTCCCAAGTAGTTTCTAATGATACTTTGTACTGAACATTTTTTCTCCAGAATATTTCCAAGGTTTTTCAAAAAATGTTAATGTGGCCTTTCGATTTCAACTAAAAAACAAAACAAAACAAAACAAAACAAACCAATTCAGTAATTCCCAAGGAAAGATTCAACAGCACAGACTTCTACAGCTAATGGTCCTAAGAATCATAACCCAAAATAGATGGCGGCTAATTTTCTCATCTATTCTTGGTGGCATTCTGGAAAGCATACATGAAACAGGAATACTCACGGAACATGGTATAAAACTGCTGAGGGTTCAGATTCCATTTTCCCCAGGGGGTCTTGTGGCCTTTCGATTGGGCATAATTTGCGTGATTAAATTCAGGTTCAGTACCAAATGAATCGAGGACTCGGAGCATGCACCTGAAAGAAAACAGCAATGTGTTTAACACTACATACTTGCCCCCAAAGTTGAAAAGGTAAAAGCTCTAACCCTTCCTTCAGGACTACTAAAAATAGGTAAATCCTTTTAGACAGACGCAGGACCAGACAAAAACTGAGATGTTTTAGAATAGCTTGTGTACCAAACATCTACTCATGTCACTTTAGTGTCTGAGACATCACACAGCAGATACGATTTGCTTCAGATCAGGTAACTAATTACAGAGGATCAATCAACTACCAGCAAAATAAAAAGTTCCATGAAAGCTTGAACTGGGGACTGCCATGTTCAATGCTGTACCCCCAGCACCTAGCCAGAGCTGAGCACACAGTAGGTGACTAATCAACCGATGCCAAAGAAACAGAGCTACCATCTACAGAGGTCTCATTCTGCTTAAATCATATGACATGTGTTATCTCTAGAAGAAATCACTCAATGTTTTAATCAATTGGAGTATTTGACTTTACATTAAGCTTAGAATCTTTCAGTAGGCGGCCGGGCGCAGTGGCTCACGCCTGTAATCCCAGCACTTTGGGAGGCCGAGGCGGGCGGATCACAAGGTCAGGACATCGAGACCATGGTGAAACCCCGTCTCTACTAAAAAATAGAAAAATATTAGCCGGGCGCAGTGGCGGGCGCCTGTAGTCCCAGCTACTCGGGAGGCTGAGGTAGGAGAATGGCGTGAACCCGGGAGGCGGAGCTTGCAGTGAGCCGAGATTGCGCCACTGCACTCCAGCCTGGGCGACAGAGCGAGACTCCGTCTCAAAAAAAAAAAAAAGAATCTTTCAGTAGGCAATGGTATTTTTTATATTTCTGATAGCAATAGAACTTTATTTGCTTTCTCCTAGAACTTGAAGAAATGCAAGTGAAGACGTTTTGTTTACTATTCCACCGAAGCCATAAAACAGGGCCAAATCTGGTCTACCGTCTATTTTCGTACGGTCTGTGAACTTAGAATAATCTTTACGTTCTTAAATGGTTTTTAAAAAATATTTTGTGACATGTACAAATTATATACAATTCCAATTTCCATGTTCAAAAATAAAAATTGTATTTGAATGTGGCCACACCCTGTTGTTGACCTATTGTCTAGGCTGCTTTCATCCTGTAACGGCACAGCTGAATAGCTGCAGTGACGCATACATGGCCCAAAAAGCTTACAATGTTTACTAGCTGGCTCTTTTCAGGAAGTTTCCTGACCGCTGTTCGAGAGTGCACAAAGAACAACCAATTGGAAGAAAGGAATCAATCCCAAAACAAAATTTATTGATTTTGGTAACATTTCATCACTGGCTTTCAAAGTATTTGATGTAAATTAAACTTAAGGATGGCCAATAAAAGCAGTTCTATTTTCTAGTATGTATCAATAATACTTCTGAATAACTTTTAGAAGACTAAGAAGCATAAAAGTAAAGATTGAAACCCGTATTTTAGAATCAGATGATGGTAACAACTTTTAAAAATCTGGCTCAGTTTTTAAATTCAAACATGAGATTGGACTTTCTAGGAAGTATACTCATAAATTTTCTTTTCTGTGTGCTAGTTTTCTCGTTAGAGATCACTACAATTTGTTAAGGCCAGGAAGTGAAGAAAAGAAAGGCAGGAAGGCCACAACCACACGTCAAATACAAGCTGACCACAGGAGGAATTTCCCTGTCTGAGATTCTTGTGTGGCTCTCACGGAATATGCTCTCATCATAGCGACAGTTTTCACAGTATCATCAAAGATATGTCATTGGTCTGGCGGCCAATAGGTGGGCAGAAATAAAGCCCACAGTCCTGAAAAAAGAAAGCTAGGGACACAAGGAACAGATCAGTGTTTTTGTTTTCTTTGCTCTTTGAATAGCTCGGAGCATCCCTTTCCACTTAATAAAACATACCCATTTCTTATATTTTTCTGTTTAGAAAAAAGATGTACAAGGAACTGGTTTGAGCCAGTATATATTCTTCTGCAAAAGCTGGCAGTGTTAATGGTGGCAGCTCTGAAGGTCACTGCAAAAAGCGGGAGGAAAGGACAGGACCCACGCTGATTTGTGGGCCTGGGGAATGCTCCACTCCTACCAGAGAACCAGACCCGGGATTTGCCAGCACTACTTTGTGAGTCAAAGATTACAGTACTCTGTGCAGGCACAGCACGGAGAAACGGGCCACTCTTGTCATAAGGAGCCTTGGCTTGAAGGCTCAGCTTTTTCCACTTATTGGCAATTGACTCCAACAGTCTACAGCCATCCTTGGTAACTGGTGGGCTGGTTCCAGGACCCCTGTGGATACCAAAATCCAAGGATACTCAAGTCCCTTACACAAAATGGTATAGTACTTTCATATAACCTATGCACATCCTCTCATATTTAAATCTCTAGATTACTTATAATACCTAGTATCATATTTGTATTTTTATTATTGTATTATTATCTTTTTCCTTCAGATATTTTTGGTCTGTGGTTGAATCTGTGGATGTGGAACTCATGGCTATAAAATGCTAACGATATACTCTTCTCTAGCTTTGGCTGGTGACCATATTTTTAACTTGAAGTTTTATTATTGTTATTTTTGATTTGGGCAACTAAAACAAATCCTGATGAGTAAAGCTGTCTGCTAAGGGCCTAACGCCTGAAAGCCCAGACTTTGCACAGTGCCTAGACGTAAGCTATGTGGCACTGGGCTCTTCCTGAAAGAGGAATGGAATGATCAGCTGTCTCTCAGAAGTTTATAATTTGACATCCTTTTACTTGAGGCTTTTGCTTGGGAATTGCTTTTCTAGCTTATCTAGGTTTAATTTATAAAGCACAGACAGGACACTGGACTTGGTCTAGGACATGGAAGGTGTGACATTACAGTTTTCCTTCTTCAATCACATCCTGCATCTGTGTGTTTTGCAACTATTTTTATAATGTGTTGCTAATATTTAGGCCTTCCCTCTAATGTCTCTGTGTCTGGAACATCATAAGCAGACTAATGACTTAAAAAGATATTTGTTTTGATGCCCAAGGCAGCTCGCCTTCTTTTAACAGAGATCACAGCAGGCATGCCAAGTAACTCCTGGAACCTTCTCTTTGCTGTCAGCCACACTACTATGAAATGGATGTTCAGGAGCTCCTTGCCATGCCCTAATTTCTAATCTGGTGTTTGACATAAAACATGGCATATCTTAGACTACTTGCAGTTTACTTTCTTGTATGTCCTTCGACAAAGGCCTTGTAGGAAGTAAAATGGGTATGAGTTTTGCAGTAACTAGCAGAATACTAGTTGCATGTAGGCATGTAATATATGTTTAATTGAATTTCCTAGGTCCCTACGTAAATTGGACAAAATTTACAATTAATTTTCCAAGGGTTTGCTCCTAATTGAAAGATCAGATAACAACAATACATTTAATGGAATACATACCAACAACCAAGATGAATACTGACAATTCACCTTGGTTGTTGGTATGTATTCCATTAAATTTCTGATTTTTAAAAGGGAAAATTTTAAATCTTCTCTGACAATTTCTAATTTTTAAAAGGGAAAGAAATCGGCAAGAAACTTCCAAGGGGACCTGAATAGGCTTTTAATAGAATCTTCGCTTCATCACACCACAAAGACTGCAGACCTAAAGCACTAACAGACCTCCTGCCAGGTAATATCACTAACATAGATGATTTATTAAAGAAAGGCAGATAAACATTACATTCATCCATAAAACCCCCGCTGAGATGGTGCCTGTTTGTCCAACAAGAATGAAATGCCAATCAATGGTAACCATTTTAATAACAAAATTATCCTTTTTTAATTCACCTAAACACTACCACTGAGAATATTTTTCCATCCAAAGAACTCTTCTTAATAGCGAGGATATGTGAGTCAAGGGAAGCCTGTACTGCATAGATTCCTTTGCACATTTATCAGATGTCTGCCATTTACAAAACAGTAGAAAACAACAACTCTACCTTCATCAAGATTTCAAGAAACAAGCCAAAAACCAGGAAAAAACCTAATGCAAAAGGTAGAGCACTATCTTGGCCTGCAGCAAGTTTCTAGTTTTGCTTTTTTTATATTTATGTGCCATTTACATAAGTTTATTCACCTTTTAAAATTTATTTTTTAAAGGAAACTTTTAAAGACCATAAATAAAACCCAGTATTATGCAGCCATAAAAAAGGATGAGTTCATGTCCTTTGTAGTGACATGGATGAAGCTAGAAACCATCATTCTGAGCAAACTATCACAAGGACAGAAAACCAAACACCACATGTTCTCACTCATAGGTGGGAATTGAGCAATGAGAACACTTGGACACAGGGTGGGGAACATCACACACCGGGGCCTGTCGTGGGAAGGTATAGCGTTAGGAGATACACCTAATGTAAATGACGAGTTAACGGGTGCAGCACACCAACACGGCACATGTATACATATGTAACGAACCTGCATGTTGTACACATGTACCCTAGAACTTAAAGTATAATTTAAAAAAATTCATTCTAAAACTGGCAAAATAACTCAGTTTCTCTGTCCATAAAGTTATTAGTCTTGATGAAACTGACATGAGTAGTCAGTGTTATCTAGTACTGTTGTTTACTACTCTCTCATGACTAAAGACCTCCAAATCATTTGATACTCCTGGCAAGGACCAAATTTGGTGGTTTGGGGGACCTTTGTAATGAGAGGAATTTTTAAATGTGATAAAGGACAGAAGCAATAAAAGACAAAACAAAAAATAAAAATGAGAAATAAAAAAAAACCCCCAAAAATTAGAAAGAAAAAGCCCAGTGTTGACCGCCATACATGCAAGATAACAACAACAAAAAACCATACAACCTTTAGGAAGTATTTTACAATTCAGAATAGATACTTTTGCCTGCTCAATGCTGAGACTCACAGCTACTCTCACATTGTTAAGAATGCATGTGTTAAAAGTAGTGACACAGATATAGTAGCATCAAACTACACCTTTTCTCAAAAAGACTGAAAGAAAATTGAAAAATTAATAAATTTGTTTATATAATTCATTGTGATTTAGGGCCATGTTTGTATACCAGGTAAAAGTGTTTCAAATACTAAATCGTGGTCCCAAACCCACACTCAGGGAAACACCGAGCTACTCTACTAAATAATGAAGACTGCAGAGTACACATGCACCACAGTCATACTAATCATGGGCTTATCTTAAAAAGTGCAAGATCCCAGCATCCAGATAACGTATTCCCAGATTTCCCTTCCATGAATGACAAGAATACTGATGAGGTAAAGGGTAAGAAAAGTCAATCATGATCTAAAACCCAAGGAACACAAGAAATGACACTGTACATATCTTATCAAAATGGTTATTTGATTAAATAGATAACATTGGCATATGCATACTGAGAGGAAGGCTAAGTATTAATACTAGTCAAGGTAGAAAGGAGGTTGAACACTTGTTTTCTATTTTTAAGAAACCAATGAAAATAATGAATAGCCAAAGAAAGTACAAAGTCACTGAGAATCTGAATTTCAATTATGAATGAGCAATACACTCCATACAGCTGAAAAGATACAATTTGGTAAGCTTTTTCTACCCACAACCATGCAACCTTTGTTAAGGAGGGGGGAAAAAACCCTTAAGTCAGAAAACCATGCAGCACTTACTGGTAATGAACCCAGGATGGTCCAAGAGTTTTCTTGAATTGAGCAAGTCCTACAATATCAATATAAATGAGCTCAACGATTCTGTCTCCTACAGTTGGGCAGCCAGATCGGTTTCCTACAACCTTCTTCATGATTCTAGAGAAACGGCAAGAGAGAGGGGAGAAAAAAGAGAAAAATCATTTACTTAAAAGGTAATAAACTTGGCAACTTTAATGGTCAAATGCCACCACAACAATCCTTATTAGAGATGACAGCATGGCCCTTTCAAATCTGCTACTTATATAAATTATTTCCATCCATTAAGGCCAACCCAGTACCCTGATTCTGACTCTTGCAAAATGGTGCAAATGGTGGCATATAAACACAGTCTTTGAAATCAAGGAAGACATGGGTCTGACTCCATCACCACTATGCAGCAGCTGTGAGACCTTAAACAAGTTACTTAACCTCTCTCAAACTCTTTGCTCATCTTCCAGAAAACAAGGACTGGATACAAAGAGCATTGGACACCAATCTCTCAGGGGTTCTTCACAATGAGATACTGAAAAGAAAGTGCCTAATGAATACCAGACACTCAACAACTTAGTTTTCTCCCCCAGAGCCTGTTCTTACTGCTCAGCACCCTTATTAACCTGCCCCCCATCCCCTTTTTCTAAATGTCTTCAATTTCTAGCCTCTATAGTATTAACTTCTTTTTACCTGTCTCATACTGTTCCTTAACTTTTTCTGCTATGTCAAATTTTTCCTCCTAGCTTGACCGTATTACAGAACTGGCACTACGGTTTATAGTTTTATTTTTATCACCCTTTCCCCCACCCATGCATTCATCCACACAAAACCACACTTGTGCTCAGAGTATGATGTACTTGATTGGTAGGCCAACTTCATGTGTAGGAACAAGTAACTGCTAACCCTACTGCCACCCACTTACTAATCAACCACCACTGTTGCTTATCCCGGCCCACACCCCACAATAATCCTTCACCAAATTATGAACATCCTGCTTCAAAGGACAAGAGTCACAAACAGGACTCTGCTCGACAGCTCCGTATTAACCACCACATCAGCCATCCTCCTTCCTTCTCCCCTGTTTATGAAAGAGCTAGGTTCTGCAGAACCAGTTTCTTCCCAAGAGTCAGAAAACCCTTTCTGTTAAGGGCCAGACAGTGAATATCTTCATCTTTGCAGGCCATACATTCTCAGTCACAACTGGCTCATTCTCCCGTTGTGGAATGAAGACAGCTATACATGATATGTCAACAATAGGCATGGCTGTGTTCCCATGAAACTTTATTATTTATTTTCAGATGGAGTTTTGCTCTTGTTGCCCAGGCTGGAGTGCAATGGCACGATCTTGGCTCATTGCAACCTCCACCTTCCGGGATCAAGCGATTCTCCTGCCTCAGCCTCCTGAGTAGCTGGGATTATAGGTGCCTGTCCCCATACCTGGCTAATTTTTGTATTTTTACAAAAGAGAGACAGGGTTTCACCATGTTGGTCAGGCTGGTCTCGAACTCCTGACCTCAGGTGATCCACCCGCCTCGGCCTCCCAAAGTGCTGGGATTATAGGCGTGAGCCACCATGCCTGGCCCCATGGAACTTTATTTACAAAAAAAGACAGAGGGCTGATTTGGCCTGCTGAGCCATAGTTTGCAAACATGCTCAGTGGTTCCCAAACTCGCCTGTATAATGAAATTACCTGGAGGCATCACAAAATACTTATGGCTCTGCCCTACCCCCAAGGGTTGTGATTTAATTAGCCTGTGGCATGGTCTGTGGGATTTTTAAAAGATACCCCAAAGTTAAAAAATAAATACAAAGATCTCCAGGTGGTCTAAAGTACAGATATATTTAAAGACCACTGTTCTATGTTGCTTCCACAATTATCTTCTTAAATAAAACACATCTAGCCCTGACCCCAGTGTGCATAAAGACTACTAGAGTTAAGTCCTCACTTAACATCATCAATAGGTTCCTGAAAACCGGGACTTTAAACAAAACAACAGATAGCAGGCCCACCAATAAAGTCATTTCCTTCAAATCAGTGGTTATAATGTTAATGAAAAAAACTGGCTTGATTTTACATAATTTCATTTATAGTCCTAGTTTCCAAGAACCTATCAACAATGTTAAGTGAGGGCATACTGAACAAATTTTCCCTCGACCATCAAATTCAGTCTCTGACTGATAAATCCCTAACATGCCTTTCCTGACCTCCCTAGGCAGTACTTGTCCCTGGTACTACCACAGCACTCCATTTATTTACCTACCCACTCATTCATTCACCTATTTATTCCTTCACTCATTCACTCTATAGTTATGTGAGTACTCATTACTTGCTAGGCACTATCTAGATGCCCACTACACAGTGACAAACAACACTCAGTTTTCTGTAATCCCAGTGCTTACATTCTAGCATCCACATACACCTCACTTAGCACCAATAGAACTGGAATTAGTGTAGTTATTATGTAATATATTAATTGTAATTATCAAATGATTGGCAGCTCCTTGACCACGCGTTGGTCATCTCTGTATGTCCCACACCAAAACTAGCCTACAGAAGGCACCAGATGAGTGACTGCTAACTGTACAAATGCAGCCACTTTGTAGGTTGTGTATCCAATTTTTTTTTGTTTGCTTGTTTTTTTTGAGACAGAGTCTTGCTCTGTCACCCAGGCTGGAGTGCAGTGGCATGATCTCAGCTCACTGCAGCCTCTGCCTCTCGAGTAGATGGGACTACAGGCATGGGCCACTGCACCTGGTTAATTCTCGTATTTTTAGTAGAGACAGGGTTTTGCCATGTTGGCCAGGTTGGTCCTGAATTCCTGGTCTCAAGTGATTTACCTACGTTGGCCTCCCAAAGTGCTGGGAGCCAACATATATTGTTTTAACATGTCTCTCATCTCAATGAGCTCTAGAATGTTCATTCAAGGTATTTCTTCTGGAAATATATGACATATAGCAACATGACAACTTGACTGTTGGGTGGGAAGTCTCCATGGGCAATTATCCTAAGCAACTGCAGGGGATGGAAGCGTCTCTGCTCAGCCAGCTATGCCAATATAGAAGGGATTACAGGAAGGCTGGAGCTAGAAGCAAATTTCAGTGAAATAAAACACCCAAGTAGAGTTAACAGACTCAGGTGAAAGTTGGCTAATTGAAAAAGGACCGGCTCAGGGCTTTCAGGAAATTTATTCTATCTAAATTAAATTACAAACAGGAACCTGCCCTGTTTTAAGACTTAGAAAGATTGATGTTGAGTAGGCAGTGGGTATGAATTTTAGCAAGAGACAGGGAATTAGGAAAGTCAATAATGTTTCGTGCTACAGATGTTGGAAGCACCTGTAATAGCAAAGAATAAGCTCCTTAGTTTGAATTTTCTGGCATTCATTTATGAAGCCTCTGGAGCCTTCGGCTACAATGAAAACATATTATCCTTTTCACAGTGTATGTATTTAGCTCCTGAAAATAATCTTCTTATCTCCTGTTTAGTGAATTATCACTTTCATTTTCCTCGACAAAAAATTACACACTAATAGAGGTAACACTTTAAGAGTTTACAATTTCTTTTCTGTATTCTGATTTTAAAATTGAAAAGTAATCTCCTTACTCTTTGAGCTCAGCCAGTGAAGCTGAAATCCTAATGTCATGGCCCAGTAAGTACAGAGATGTAATTAAATCACTCCACTGAACTAATTCACCAAGAGGGCCACCACTGAAAGCTGTCTCTGCAATCTTAAATCCAGATTCCTTGGTCAGGAGTCCCAGGTGAACGAGGACCTGGAAAACAGAGAGGCATATACTGATTCACACTGAACCACATACAAAATGCACAGTACTGCGCCAAGAAGTGATCAACAAATCCCAAAGTCATGTTTACATCCTAACAAAATCTCAGTGTGGGGAATGCTGTTTTTCTAGAAGGTACAAAGGAAGGAAATCATTTTTCATTGTGGTTTTAGAGAAATAAAATCACTGCAGCCACTGGTATGGCTATGAGTACAAGGTTATGGACAGATAATCCCACCTTGTGAAAGCACAGTGTATTTGTAAAATCGGGATTAAAGGAAGGTAAGACAGGACAACATTTTCTAACACTCTTGGTCTTTTATCTACAGCTAAAATACTTCTAACCTCTTACCATGGAAAATTTCAAATACATAAGAAGTATTTGAAATTTGAATATACATGACAATAGTCAATACCAAAGTAATTACTGTGTAGCTTCAACAATTATTAATGCATGACAAATCTTAATCTATACCCCCATTTTCTCCCAACCCCTCTAGATTATCTCAAAGCAAATTCTAGACATATCCTTTCATCTGTAAATATTTTGGTATGCATCTCTGAAAGGAACAAACCTTCACTTGAAAAATATAACCTGAACGTCACTACTATCCCTAAAAAACCTAGTAATTCCTTAACATCATCCGATATCCAGTTAATATTCATACTTCTTCAACTGCACTTTATTTTTTCTAAGTGCACTTGTGCAATTCAAGAGTCAGAGAACATACATAATAATTGCCTCATATGTCTCTTAGCCTCATAGGAAACAATGTACAGGTGTGTCTGTCTTGGGATGTTAGCAGTCCTTGATGGTCACTAGCTAGATCCATTAATCCATTAGGGACTGCAAAATGATATTTTACCATTCTTTGTTTATTAGCTGGAATGCCTCTCTATGAAGAGAAACTACCCCTCATCAACTATTTGGTCACCCTGAGGTTAACTCTAAGGTTATAGATAAATGCAGCCAAACTTGTATTTGGTATAGAAGGAGCCTGGCAAATATTTGAGTCTTTCTCTTTATTTGCCAGTTTTCCAGAACAATAAACTTGTTTTTTAGCCTACTCTAATGATGATCTATGAGGATTTTTAATTAAAAAAATCATTATAACATCAAAGCTATTTGATATGCTTCAAAATATTGTGGATATTCCTCTTACCAACTATCCAATTGTCCCACCTGGGCCTGTGGGAGGCTATCCAAGCTGGCTCCTAAGTTCCTTTGACATGATCTTAGTTTTCTTTGATAGCTTCTCCGCACGTGGTGCCTGACAAGATTGTTCTAGGCTCAACAGGTACAATTTCTGCCTTGGACCTTAATAAGCCATTTTTCCAAGAACCTTTTATACCACTTAGTAGAAATAGCATTTAGAAACTAAAGTGTGGGGCTTAAGGGTCTCAATTTTATTACTATTTATAGGCCTTACAGTGGCCTTACCTAGGAAATTTGTTTTTTCTCAAAGATAAAGCAAATCATGAGTTCAGATTGGTGCTTCCAATTCAAACTCAGGGTTACAGTGTTTTTACATAACATCACCAATCCTACCATCCATTAATTCTTTTCTTCCACACTGCAAATCCCACTTCTCAAAGACACTAACATAATTACTCATCTGCTTTACTCCAATGTTCACAATGGATTCAGAATGAGAATATCAATGCTACCGCATATTACATGATTAATAAAAATGGTTTTAAGATGTTTTTACAGTTTTTTATCCTTTGTGATATCCCATCAGAAGTGTATCGTTTACTGTGTTCTAAAGTCACTAAGAATAATCTTTCTGTGTGCTTCCATCAAAACTGGATGGATATATAGTCAGTTCTTTTGTTTTGTATTCCTCCTAATTTTTAGTTTTTGGTAATAAAATTTCATTTAGCACTTACATAAAATGATTCCAGTGTCAAATCTACAAAGTCAGATATATTCAGAAGTCTAGTTTCTATGGCAGTTTCTGTTGCCTCCATGCTAATCCCAACTCCCCTTATTTGACCTTTTTCTTCCCCCTTATTGTACTAAATTCACCCAACATAAAATTTACCATTTTAATGTATACGGTTCAGCAGCATGAAGCACATTCACATTATTGTGCAACCATCATCACCATCTCCTTTATTTTTAATTTTAGTTTATCAAAATAAGAAAAATACATTTTCAAACTAAGAACAAGAAGCAAATGTATGTATCTGTATATATCTATATGTATACATAGATATAAATTTCCTCTCTCTTAAAAATAATGTACACTATTCTCTACTTTTCTTCACCTAACAATACATCCTCGAGGTTACTCCACAGGAATATATAGAAAAATTCTTTATTTCTTTTTACAGTCCACCTGCGCATGTGAACACATGCTCTTCCATACACGACCATTTGGTGACAGAATGTTTCGTCCTGCTGTCTCACAAATTCACGAGATCCAGGCAAAAGTGATCTATCAAACTATGGCTTGGGGTCCTGCAAATGTATCTTTATTTTCTTTTTCAAACATATCAAATCAGTTGGATTAGGAATACCAAACTCATTTTTAAGTTTTTTAGATGTGGGAGCAAATTGTTCCCTTTGCTCAGTTCTGAAATCAGAACAGTTAATCTAAAGCCAGACCACCAAATCCATAGCTAACAGGGCATAAAGTCTTCTAAGTCCAGGGGTATTCGAGAGGTTTTCCAAGTCTCTCCTCATGAACTAGAAAGAAACTGACTCAAATTTAATCAAATTTCTCTCTCCCTCTCCTAGGAGCATAAGCAGAAGCACCAACCAGACAGAGTAACAATGAAACTCACTGGCTGTCCAAAAGCCAGGGATGAAAATCAACAAAAATATAAAATTTTCATGATGATATAATAGGAAGCTCTCAAAGGTTGGATTCAGGTAAGGAAATGGGGGAAGTTTCCTGATACCCTGACAAAGACAGGTTCGAAGGAAAAGTCTTACAGGCAGATATTCTGCTTGGCTTCACCCAAGAAACTTGTGCCAGACCCTGCTAAGTAGGAGCATTGTAAGTAGGCAAAGGCCAACCCAAAAACAGCTGTACAAGAGACTGAGCAGAATCACCCTGAGGGAGTATCATTTGAGATATGACATTTCTCTTAGTCTTGTTTCCAAGCAAAATCAAATTTTAAAAGAAAACTGGCATCTAACTGCACTGAATTAATAAAAAACTCACTTTCTTCCGCTTTCTCTTTTCAAGGTTCTGCTTTTCTGCCAGGGACTTGATTGCTTGAATCCATGCGTCAGCCATTCGCCGGATCCGTAGTCTCATCCACCGGAATTCTTCATGCTTTTTCATCATACTATAGAGAATATTAAAATCTGTACGAATTTCCGCCTAGCAACAGAAATTTAATAAAATGAATAGAAGATAAAAAGTCAGAAAGCATAATGGTTTTCATGACGTGACATTTGAAAACTTAAAAGGGTTAGTCAATTAAATTGAGAGCTTCAAAAGTAAGTCTTGTCTGCTGCAGCTTTGACTTTAAGGTCCCAGGACTGCAAATTGAAGCAAAGGCTGCTAACTGCTGATCTGCCGGAAGGGACATCATTAAAAAATTAGAAATCGAGAAAAGCAGCATAGGCATTACAAAGCCCTGAGCTATGTTCAAATGCAGTTTTTATAATGTGTATGCTTGATGTACCTTGAAATTGTCAGCACTCAAATTTACTGTGCCATTTGGATCTACCATAGGACAGCAGACTTCTAAGAAAACTGAAGTCAATTCTTAGCAGGCTGTTTGACAACGTGGAAGTTGCCAAAAAGCCTCTTTCTGTCCACAGAGTTAAACAGGGAAATAAATGTTCATCTTCTGGTTTTGTCTCAGTCCAAACAAAAATTCATTGTTCTCTAAGGAATTTAAGAGCCAGGAATACTACTTTTCTGTCATGAGCAAGTACAATTTAAAATTCAGAGCAGAATAACTTAAAAGCCAGGAAGAATATTTTTCCTAATGTTCTAGAGAATATAGCTGGATACAATCAGTGACTGGAGTAACAGAGAAACATAATAACCAGTATTTATTTCACAGAACATCTCAAACATGCTGAAACCACCTTTTCAGCCACCTACACAGCTCATTCTAAACACTCATCTCTTTTCTTTCTTTATTCCCCTTTGAGATAGGGTCTCACACTCTCACCCAGACTAGAATGCAGTGGCATGATCACAGCTCACTGGAGCCTTGAACTTGGGCTCAAGCGATCCTCTTGTCACCTTAGCCTTCCAAGTAGCTGAAACTATAGGCACATGCCACGCTCAGCTAGTTTTTAAATTTTTTGTAGTGATGGGGTCTTGCTGTATTGACCAGGCTGGTCTCAGCCTCTCCTGCCTCAGCCTCCTAAAGTGCTGAAATTACAGGCATGAGCCACCACACCCAGTTTCATTTCCCTTCTTGACTAAACAATATCCTAGGACTCCTGTGGTTTAGAGCATGGATCAGCAAACTACAGCCCTTGGGCTAAATCCTCACTGCTTATTTTTGTGTATAAAATTTTACTGGAACTCAGCCACGCCCCTTCATTTACATATTATCCAGGGCTGCTCTCTCTGTTACAATGGCAGAATTGAGGAGCTGCAATGAGACGACATGGCCTGCAAAGATGAAATTATTTACTATCCGGGTATTTTGCAGAAGTTTGCTGATCTATGGTCTAAAGAATAAAGACTTATGCTTTTAATGGGGCAACAAGTACTTTCACAGTCCCCTTCCGACCTTCCCAGTTTCATCTTCAGCCTAGCTCATCCAATCCCCTATGGCCTTGGCCAACTGAACCATGCAGGCTCTACTCCCAGAAACTGCCATGCTCTCATTTTCCCATATGAGAGATATCCTTTTCTCCTTGACCTTATATAAAATCACTCATCATTTTAAATTCAGCTCCAATGTCATCTTCACTATGCAATCTACCCTGAATATTGCAGACTAAAATGAGCTCTTCCTCATTAATTCCCACAGGCCTATATTACAGCGTTTGTGACAGAGATAGTCATTATCTGCCATCACCCTTATTAGATCACGTAGGGCCTCTACATCTGGTACCAGGTCTTACTCATATCAGTAGCCCATCATTTAGGAACCCTCAGAGAATTGCTCAGTAAACAAACATACGCTAATGGTTGACTGATTTGGTCACCTAGACTTCCACAGAGATGAATAACAGAAGTTTTTCAGTGTAACACTATTTCAGGTTACAGTTGGCATTTCTAGAAGATTCCACATGTATCACTTGGCATCTGACCTAAATGCCCAAGTCTAGAAAGAGTTTTCCAAAATCACTTACCAATGAATTATGATCAGCTTCTTCGTAGGGATTTTTTGCTCTCCAAGGTAAATGAGGACACCAATTTTCAACCTAAAAAACATCAGTGACACTAAGTATGCAACTTCATCTATAATGAATTAATATACAAACAAAGCAAACAAAGCACCGAGAACAGCTCCTGGCACACAATGAGCACTATATTAATATGTGCTATTTTTATTATTAGCCAAATTCCCATGCTTTTAGCTAGTATTCGAGATACAAGTGCCCTCTCAGATGAAACAATCAGCAGCAAAGGTCAGAAGAAAGAGATTATATTTTACATCTGTCCTTCAAAGTACTCTACAGCAATTAATTCCTTAGTCATTTAATCCTCACATCTCTGTACCAGAAGGAAAGGGAGTCTAATGGCAGAAAGTTAAAAGACTGAAACATTGCCACCGGGGAATGAGAATCTAAGGTGTCTCTGTGACCATTTAGCAAATGGACAGGAATGATCTTTATCTGTTGTGGCATATCTGGAAAGGAAATTGAATGGCACTGAAGCCACAGAACTCAATCCTTTATCTGGGTTAGGAATGCAACAATAGTTTAGGGCTAATTGGTCAAGGTTTCTCTCATTTTCTAGCTATTCACTTCACACTATCTCAAGAAATAAGGTGATAAAACCTATTTGAGGAGGAGAAAAAAAAAAAAAAAAACCTTGATGATCTTGTGAGAGCCATTCTGGAAGATGGACTGTTCTGTCAATGCATAAGGTTTAGAAATTGAGGGGAGGAGGAAAGAGAAAGGAAAAAAGAACTTGATTTTATAGAAATTTCAGCAAAAGTTATCAAAGACTATTAGGCAACTTAATTTCTAGCAAAAAAATGAGAAATGCATTAAAGTTATATTGATGTCTATTCTCTATCAAAACTAGTCATAATGAAGATAGCATTATCACCTGTTTACTAATAAATAATGAGATTATGAAATATGGCTAACAAACAGGCATTGAAAATAATTTTTCTATGGCCAGGTAGACCTATAAAACTTAATGAGCAGGAGAGTGAGGGAATGTCCTTAAAGTGGTCACTAAGATGGCAGAGACATGTGTGGAACCATGGCCTCATGGGTCAGCACAAGACAGTTTGCCCTTTCAGTCTCAGTAAGTTTTCCAAGAAACATGTTGGTTTTACTAATCTAGAAGTTACTCATAATGCAAGGTGATCTGTACTATAACCAAAGTAATTGGCCTGATTTGCATAAAGCCATCTGCCACTGCAGATGATCCCAAAGCAATAAGCAGAGAGAAGCAAAGCTCGGGGAGAGGGTGGAAGCTCTGAATAGGAAAAGTGAAATATTCTCTTTTCTTCTTATGGAATAAAATTAGACCTTACCATATTTGTGAATGATTCAGAGACTCAAAAGGATTCCCCACAAGGAAAGCTGAAATGGTTTTTACTCATAAAAAAGAAAACACCAACTTGCCTTGGAGGCCTACAGTCTAACCACTGGGATCTGACAACAACATGACCATGAAAGGCAATATCTGCAGCTCCACAAATGAGAAAAATGAGGAAAAACAGCAAAGAAAAAGTCTGCAAGTGGATGAAGCCTAAGCTGGTCTCAGCAGCATTATGCACATCTGTACCTTGTATTCTTAGGCCAGACTGAATTATTTAGCTCCAATTAGATTTGTGCAAATGGACTCAATAAACCATATTTATAACATGAAGGCTTCAAATGGATTGTAGACTTGATTGTGAGATATTTAATGTCACCCCATCCCACCCCCATCCCTGCAAAAAAAAAAAAAAAAAAAAAAAAAATTGGATGAGCAAGGAAGGTACAGATTTGAAATAAACCTCACACCAAATAAACAACCAAATTTACCAGCCACCCACTAGGATAAAACGTTTTCCCAGGAATGGCATGATGGGGAAAGATGAAATAAGACTAAAAAAAATCAACTAAGAGGAGAGACATGAGCAAGACCAGATAGTGATAAAATTCCCTCCCCACTCTGCCACTGCAAGAAGAATCTTTCAAGTTTCACTGTGATGAAAATACCAGTCCCAGGTGATTTTTAAAAAGATGACTTCCCTACAGAAGCCTCAAGACTGTAATGCCTCTTTGAAACTGATCATTTATTTTAGTTCTTCTTATTCTAAATCACTGGGTACTACTTCCTAAGGCTCCAAGGGCACTCCTGAAAATATAAAATATAGGGTCAGTCCAATTTAGCTTTTAGCAAGAAATTTCGCTGTTATACATGCACTTGTAATGGTGGGAAAATCAATTATGAACATCTTAGCACAGAGTGGGAAGGTGGGTTTTTAAGGTTGTTTTTGTATGCTGTGATAGGATAACTGGTTACCAAAATAATTAAATTATACATAAACCAGTTATCCCATGGGGAGAAGGGAAAAACAAAACAAAGCACTTTTTTCTTTGGGAAACCTCGGAGGATTACCAGGATTGGAAATAAAGCCAGCATTGGCAATAACTCCGAGTACTGAAACAAACAGCTCTCAAATGAGCAACATTTTCCTCAATAGGAACACCATTAATAACATTCAGGGAAAACGTTGCTGAAGGTTAATAACAACCTCTTAATCCCTAACTTTGCTTTCTTTTGATCTGTCCAGAGTCCTTTAACAAGCTTAACCCACCAGTACAGGATGCTACCAATAAAGCTGGACCCCAAGGTGAGCCCCACCACCTACTTGACCTGAAAATGGCTCTATTTCAAGTCACTCTCAATAGCTCTTCAACTCTTGGTTCTCAGAGCCCTAGTGTCCTACAGCTGTCTTTGACCACCTTCCTTCACACTGTCTCAACTGTGGCTCCTGGTACTCTCTTACTGGGACACAATTTTATATTTCCCCTCAGTATGGAGACACACTGGGTGCCCCGCCTCCCCGCTACCACCCTCTGCCGTCAACCCCATCTCTGCCCAGTTTTTATGGCCTGGGAAAGACCTGCCTCAAGCCCTCTGACAGGGAAGGGACTGGACAGTCTTAAAAGTAGCCTACAATTCACCACTATAAGTCTAAGAAATTAAAACCGTCTGAGCTCCTGGCAACACGCACACAACAATCGATCCAGGAGAAGCATTCCTCCAGTAACCTTCAATTGGAAAGCAAACTCTTTGACATGAACTAATCTTTTTAGCTCACTATCCTCAGGCCACAAAATGAAGATGCAACAAAAACAAAGACCAGCCAGGCTAAAACTTTAGAACATAAATGCACATTCCATGGAAAGGACCCTATAAAATCACTTTTCTTGAACAAGGAGATACAAAAGATAACAATTTGTTTTTTTGACATTCCTCCTCACAGTGATTTAAACTTCCTTGAACAAAAAGGGTTTTGCAGCTTAAACACGAACACTGCGAATCAAAGCATTCTCTGAGTCCCTAGAAGTCTAATCTGGTAAGACTTATTTCCAAGGTCTGTAGGACAGACAATTCATTATATTAAAGGGAAAAAACTTGTTGGCAGATACATAGACAACTCAAGTTGGAGTTTAAAGAGGGAAAGAAAAAGTAACAAAGTTACTGGGAAAACTAATAGATTCAATGTATACATGCATGTTGTTAGATATAATATGGCAAAACTTCTAGTAGTAATGTTCTGTTCTTTTGAAAGAATGATTAGTCTTTGCTGTGGCTTTTTCTTTCACAATTAATGTGAAGTGTTCTGTTCTAATGGGTCACCAACACACAGGATTTCATGCTGTATTTTTCAGATGATTTAAGTACAATCAAAACTAAATGAGAAAAATACATACGGAAAGTCTGAGATCGTCTCTGGATGATGGTGTTCTGGGTGCTTTTCATTTTCTTTTTGCTAATCTACATATTATACATTTCACAATGAACATTAACAGAATAATTTTTAAAGGAGTTATATAAGCATGCCATCACGTATGAAGACTTACAATATGTTGGGCTCCATAACACACACACACTACACGATTTAATTCCCCATAGGGCCTTATAACATGGGTACTATCAACATGTTACCTGGGATGAAGTCAAGGCTTAATGTGAATTTGCCGCTATAACTTCTCTAGTGAGTGGCAGGGCTGAGTGACAACTGAAATTTGTTGTCTCCCTAACCAGGATACATTAGAGTTACCTTTAGGCCAAGCTTAGTGAGGGATAAGGGACCTATTTCAGCGGGGAAAGATGACTGAATCTGGGATCAGTCAAAACGGACTCTATGCCCAACTATGCAAATAACTAGGCATTTAATTTTAAACCATTTGGCTTTCAAGTTTTCTCATCTACTTTAGAGTTGGATCAGGTAACCCTCTTAATTTTATTATCCTGTAAGATCTGAAAGACAGAATTTATGTCATCCTGTTAGGCTAGTTGGTCACATATCAAATGAATACAGTTGACTATATATTCATTTGACACACTGATTACACTTATATATACTCACATTCATAAACATATACACATTTGTTATACTGATGACATCAAATGAAGTTACTCATTAAGGGATAAGCTAAAAAAAAAGTAAGCCCCCTGCACTTCTCTCTACCACATGCCAACTCCCGCCTCCTCTACTTTCTAAAGTTTTAATGATAAAATGCAGATAGTAAAGGATGTCTACTCATGTAAGTGATAAGTGGTTCAGCTTTCTAAGACTGGTCCTCTGCACCAACACCTGAGTTGATTAATATTTTGGTCCTTATCTGAAGAGTTGTGTAGGGGGAGTGGGCTGGGAGAGACCAAGAATAAAAGTTGCGATGTACTAGGAGCCAGGCATGAGGATAAGCCCTTTACACACGTCATCTCATTTGGTCTTTTCAAATAACGTCCTTAGAAAGGCTAATTATCATGCCAGATGAAGAGGCTGAAGCACAGACTAGACACAGCTAAAGACAGAAATGCCACCTGTCTTGTCCCAGAGCTGGTAAGCTCAATCAGTATTTGAAGCACATTGGCTAAACTTCTGGTTCCTACAGTCCAGTAAGCACAGTCCCGTCTTCAATACTGGAGTATCACCGCCTAGGTCTTCTAAAAGAAATCCTTTAAAATGATTATACTCTTAGTGCATGGCAGTACTGTACGGTTAACGAATGTAGTAACA